TAATGCCGCCGCCGCCGCTACCGCCATCCCCCTACCCAGCTTCGGCCGCGTAGTGCACGCGAGCCTAGCTTGCGAAACTTAGGCCGCCGCCCCCTTCAGCCGCTACCGCCGGCGCTAATGCCGCCGCCGCCGCTACCGCCATCCCCCTACCCAGCTTCGGCCGCGTAGTGCACGCAAGCCCGCAGCTTTCGTGAGCAAAGGCCTGGAGGCCTTCGCTCACGAAAGCTGGGCCACCGCCACCCACTCGAAGCCTCCCGAGTCCCGCTGCTGGGGCTTTGTTGCTTACCTGAGGGGGAAGCAGCAAGCGGAGGCCGAAGGGAATTTTCAAATGGAGGTCAAGCGTGAAAAAAGCTTCGCTTCGCCTCCAGCCTGCTCAGTGAGCGGCAGGCTGGGCTTAGTGCGGACGGGCGGGGGAGCGAGGGAGCGAGCTGCGGATGGGCGGGGGAATGAGTAAGTGAGCTGCGATGCGCCGGCAAAAGGGCGTTTTGCAGCGACAGGGGCCAGGACCGGTACCGGCATTTCCGGAAGTTAATTACTTCCGGGTTCACCGATGAACCGGTTTGTGCGAACCGGTGCGAACCAGGAGGAACCCACCCCTGGTCATAAGTCACTTTTTTCAGTGCTGTTGTAGCTTTGAATGGTCACTAAATGAACTGTTAGAAGTCCAGGACTACGTTTATTAAGCAGGAATGGCCAAGACTACCAACAGATTCTTCCTTTTTCTCTAATTGACACACAATCCTTTCCTTTCCATTTCACTCAACTCAGTGGGAGTTTTCATGTGTATTGGAGCAGGATTATTAATATGTTGCCTTAGAATGGATGTGGTATTGTTTGGCATATGAAAACATCCTGAGCACATTTAGATGTGAAAAATTGTCTCTTAGGTACATTTCTGTAATTGATGTGGTTTGTGTTGAGAAATATTGGACCTTTAACTATTATAATGGTCTACAGCACAGGTGTCAAACCTGTCACATCACGTTGCCATCACTTGATATTGTGCAATGTTTTTCCCATTCACGGAGCTGGTGTGGGCATGGCCGGAGTGTGATGCATCCAGCCCACAGTTTGATACCCCTGGTCTACAGTAATTCCAAATTACCTTGAAGATCTTCCATCCAGCATATGATACCCCCCTCCACTGCCGCCGGCGAGCCTTACCATCTCCCTACCCAGCACTGACTCTCCTTCGCCTTGGCTGGGACCATCTGCTCTGGTCATACTATCTGTCCTCCCTTTGACCGTCTGCTGCCTGCCATAGCCCCAGTTAATTAGGTAGATTTAGTTAGATATATAGGTATAGGCTTAGGTTTAGGTATAGATAGATATAGATAGTTAATTAGATTTATAGTTTAGGTATAGTTTAGATATAGGTTTAGGTATAAGTACTGGGGGCTGTACCATCTGTGGGTGCTTTCGGCCTCTGGGCAGGGCTGGTGGAGACCAGGGTTGGGGTCATGGCTAGGGTTGGGGGTAGAGTTAGTGTGGGGGTTAGGGCTAGGCTACACTCGGGTTAGGATTAGGATTAGGATTGGTGTAGAGTTAGATTGGGTGAGGTTAGATTGGGTTGGTGTTACATTAGGCTTTAGGCTTAGAACTAGGATTAGAATTAGGATTAGAATTAGGATTAGAATTAGGATTAGAATTAGGATTAGATTAGGACTAAGGCTAAAGTTGGAACAGGGCTAGGAGTGATAAATGATGGCAGCCGTAGGGGTCAAGACTTGGCTCTGTGGAAATTGGTGCCCTTTACCCCGTCTTCTGGAGCAGCTCGGGCCAGTCCCAGACGTTGGCCCCCCAGACTTTGCCCCCCTGGATTTTGGACCCTGCTCAATCTTAGGAGAGGGAGAAGAACTACTCTCCGGCACGGGGTCCACAAATTTCTCTTTGGATTCGGAGGGCTTAGGACTGGAAAGCTACTGTTTGCCAATACCGGACCCTTATCCCTTGCCCTCTCCATTTACAGCCGCTTTGCACACCATTGACTTTGGACCTGTGGCCCTGGAAGCTTTTCTAGGTCTCAGAGGAGGGGAGAAGAGTAGAGCAGCTCGCCCTCCATCTGCACATCATTGTCTTACATTGCACTAGCGCAGTGCTCCGCGAATTTTTTTTTAGGAATGTAGTGTGAATGGTATGCTTGGT